TTAAAATATGTTGAAAACAGCCAAGATAAATGGAAGAAAAAATTGCAGTGTTTGCTCAAGAGCAGTAACTAGAGATTTAAATAATTTGAAACTAACATTTCTCAAAAAATCTGCCTTATAAGACACTCAACTCTATTTAAGTGAGAGGTTAGAAGGATTTCAAAATAATTTCCTTACTTCATTATTTTATTTAAAAGATGATCAAATCTGCTAAAGCAAAGTTCCAGTGCAAAAGTGCATGGAAGGTATCACTTCTGCACTTGTGCCGCATTTTTCACGTGTGCACAAAGCGCATTGCTACTAAGAAAAAAGCTTCACTTATAGCATTCCTGGCTCAGAAAGAAAAAGGAAATATCAGAAATATCATGATAAAGCTTGAAGAGATTCAAAGCCGAAATTTCTCAACTTAATTTCTGATAACTAGGTACTTGGATATTTATCCAAATATGAACATTTTGAGACTTGTCATCGTCACTACCTCAAATAGTTAGCCACAAGGTGTTAGTGATACTTATACATTTACTTCTCTTCCTCCTCCACTTCCCCCCAAAAAAATGTCATCTCAAAAGTATCTATTTTTTCCCCCCAATTTTATTAACAATAAACCATAAAATCTGTAGTCTGTAGGTTAGGTACCCTTTTTGTTTGAAGGTAACTTACCTTCCAAATGCATTTACGAGAGCAACTATTTCTTGACGTGTGAGTTGAAAACCTTTTGATGGGCTATTCTCAGGAAGGTTCTGAATCTCTTTTTCAGAGAATAAAATCTTGAGAGCAGTTCCTAAACCTTGAGTCTAAAAGAAATTGCAGAATTATTTAACTATTAATAAAACGGTATCGTTTACCCTTGCAAAATTTCCAAGAGAAATGTACTTGTTCAGGCATAAATCTAGTCTACAGACAACACTCTACTTTCCTCTTTAATGCCTGAAAATGTTCCCACATGTATTAGTACACATCTAACAATGTGCATGCACTCCCCCAATTATATACCAAGTTCACCCTCTGTCTCTTATGCACACCCCCCAGGTTCAAATTTATGAATCTCTTCCCATCACCATCAAATTTTATATCTTACCTCTCCCTAGCCACTTCCTTCCAAATTCAAGGGTTCTTCTCTGCCACACCAAATCTACTATGATAAAGGGGCAGCTCTTCAGTGCTGCTAAAGCCACTTCAGCCCCTTTCCCCTAATGAGGCATCCTCATGACTGCCTCAAAAACCTCTCCCCCACCAAACAAGTTTTGCTCCACTGTCAGTATTATTAAGTTAGCCTTTGCAGGGAAAGGTTTCTGCTTTTACTTCTCTCTGTGGCTACGTCTACACTGGCCACAATTTCCAGAAAAGGGATGCAAATCAGGTGAGTCAGGATAGGGAAATCCGCGGGGGATTTAAATATCCCCCGCGGATTTAAATAAACATGTCCGCCGCTTTTTTCCCGACTTGGGGAAAAGCCGGAAAAAAAGCGTCTAGACTGGCACGATCCTCCAGAATAAAGCCCTTTTCCGGAGGATCTCTTATTCCTACTTCGAAGTAGGTATAAGAGATCCTCCGGAAAAGGGCTTTATACTGGAGCGGCGGACATGTTTATTTAAATCTACGGGGGATATTTAAATCCCCCGCGGATTTCCCTATCCTGACTTACCTGATTTGTATCCCTTTTCCGGAAATTGTGGCCAGTGTAGACGTAGCCCTAGTGCCTAGAAAGTCACTACTAGAGATTCTGAAGAGTGCTAAAGTGCCCATTATCTTCTATTCCCCCCACTTAGATGGCCTGGGGAAGCATCCCCTTATAGCTGTCCCCTTCGGGATAGTAGGAATGTGTACCTGGCTTCAATTGGACTCTCATGAGGAGAAAAAGGGTAATAGAAGCACAGGAAAGCCAGTGAGGGGGAAGGGAGTCCTAACGAATTAGCAAAGGCCATTGAATTTGCTCTTCCACTTATTTTGCTGAAAGAGGCTGAATGGAGCTTTTATGTGCCTTGTGGTATGATGCCAGCTACTGCTCTGATAGTATTGGTTATTCTTAGTTCACATTTTAGAGACTCTAACACTCAGCACTAGTAATGTTAGATTCTTCTTTTAATTAAAATTAAATCTGCAGAAATCAAGACTCTGAAAGCGTTGCCAACTCCTGCAATTTTATTGAGAGTCTAGTAACATTTGGCTTATCTTTAAGCTGCAGTTTCTGAAGGCTAAAGAATACATGCTAACCTCAGCTTGCATTTAAAAAAAGGTTCTGACACTTATGGTTGCAGAGAGAAGTGTGAAATCATGAAGTGCGGAGGACACCCTAAAGAGGCAGAAAATAGAAAGCACAGACAGCAGTATTCTTAAGCCAATCTGATGATTTCTGAATGCATGTAGATAGCAATACTACATTTGTTATACATGCCAAGAAATCTTTCTATACCCTGTTTGCAAAAGGAGATTTTACAAGGTTAATTTACTACATATTAGACCACAGTCTGATGATGGTAATAAAAGTCATCACTCATGAAATTTTGCCTTTGAGGTTTCCTGAAAATTGTGTTTCATAACATTGGGCTCCTATACATCTTTATCAGCAAAATAACTATAGCAAATGCTAATAGTTTCTAGAACTTCTTTTGAACATGAACTATAGATTTGAATAATAGCACATGTATACAGAGAACTGAACAGTAACAGCCCATAAATTTCTACATTCCCAAAAAAGATATGCATACACAGGAAATCAAAATACAACCTACCTGCAGTTTGCCCCATAATCTACATTTATCGCATCCAACACAATCCATTATGCGGGATATATTTTTGAAATGCAATCTGAATTCTTCCTAATAAACACAAAAAAAGTTTCATGCTAAGTTAAGCTTTTAAAAGGAGTCTTGTATTTTATCAATTTAGCAAGAAGCAGGCTTCCTAATTTACTATTCTGGAAATCTAAAGAATTCTGGTTGATGTTATGAAGCAGTTATGAAATAAAATTGCATCATATAATGTCTCTACATGGATGGGGAGTTCCTTAATTGCTAACAAGAGCTATAGCATGTCTCTGCCAGATCAGAGATAATTGTAAATGATTTAACATTAATGTTTGCCTATCAGGAAGAAATACCTTGGGACAATGAGTTGGCTAAAGTTAAGAGAAGCGGCCTCCTCTAACTTCTCTGTAAGGAGTATAAAGTAGAAAATCCTCAGTAGCAGAAGGAAGAAACCAGATGTTGCTAAGGGACATAAGAAATTCACAAAGCAAGATATGAAGCTTTGAGCAAGAAAGAGGGGCATATTTTTGTAGCAAGGGTGACCTGTTTATCTGTGGGACAAGTAAATGTCAGGAAAAGCTAGGTTACCTAGAGCAGGAGATGGGCTATAAGACTCTGCAGAGGGACTGGGATTTGAGCAGAAAGCTCCTGGACACCTAGAGAACTTTAAACGCCAAAGAACACTCCAGACTGGGAAACTGAGGAAAGCCTATGTGTGTTTGCTTTCAATATCACATGCCCCTAATAATGTAAATTGTAAAACATGTGGCTGCAATTATGGGAAAGGGCAAGGTATGCAACGTGGGAACTGTGATCAGTAGTCTCAGGGGCAAGGCAGTTGGACAGCAAGGTCCCAGCAGAAGATCTGCAGCCTGAGTGTGTGCCTACAGATACCAACCGATCAGGTTCAAGCATCTGAAAAAGCACACAGGACTCAGTAAGGTGGGCTGCACACACAACATCCAGTTAAATATCCAGTTACAGAGAGGTCTACCATGTGTGTGTCAAGTATTATTACTGAGATGAGGAAATGGGGAAAACAAGATTAGGAATAACAACTCCAATTCTCTAAATATATTTTATGAAAAGAATTACAAAACAGATGGTCAGCAGAAAATATGAATATGCAGCTAACTGTATGTCACAGTGTAAGTAGACAGCCTGTCAACTCACTTGAGACAAAATTAGTAGAGAACACAAATAGAATCCATATCTACCCAGCATTTTATCAAGTTAGTAGCTGCTGGGCCTAACTAATTTTCTGACTGCTCTAATAGCTTTGTACACATCCCCTGTTCAAAAAAATCACCACAATATAAGTGAAACAATCATATGATGAACATATTTGCACCTCTACTGTTCACTAATTCAGTGATCCGCGTTTCTGCCTCAACTAACAATATGGTGTGGGTAAATCAAATCTGAACAAAAGGCCAAACAATACTTTAATGCAGTTAATTTACTAGTCAATGGAATTTCCACCGACTAGTTGATAGGCACTTCTGCATTCCTTCTTTGAAATGTACAGGAGCCCCTATTGGGGCTCCTGTACATTTCAAAGGAGGAATGTGGAACTCCGCGTGCAGCCAGGAGCCAGCAGGACTTCCTGCTGGCCCCAGGCTGCACACGGTATGCCAGCTTTGAAATGCACAAGAGCCCCCAGCGAGGACTGTTGTGCATTTCAAAGCAGAAGCATCTGCATGGCGTTTGGGGTCAGCAGGAGTCCCCCACTGACCCCAGGCTCCATGTTGCGCTGCCGGTTTGCAATGCCACGCGGAGCTGGGGTCAGCTTGAGACTCCCCAGCTGATCCCGGATTCCACAAAAATGCCGCAGGGAGCCTGGGGTCAGCTAGGGAGTTCCCAGCTGACTCTGGGCTCCACGTGGCACTGCCGCTTTACACTGAGGTGGCATTTCAAAGGGGCAGTGCGCCACATGGAGCCTGGTGTCAGCTCCATGCGGTGCTGCCCCTTTGAAATGCTGCCAAGATGTTTCAAACAGAGCCTGGGCTCGGGCGGCACTGCTTCTTTGAAGTAACCCCTCTCCCCCAACCTTTGCTGCCTCTATATAATAGAGGCAGCAAGGGGGGAAGGGAGGGAGAAATCGACTGGACTATTGACTAGCCCTTAACATCCTTAAGATTAATCAGCTGCCTCTAGGAATCAAAGTTTCCTATAATGAAAATCACACTTAAGTTTGTTCAGAACTGTATTATACCTTGATTAAAGACAAGATAATGCCTTATGGGAAATATCCTATTTAAAAAATTATACTGTTTCTATTACTAATACTGATTTCATATATTTATCTTGCCGCAGTATTTGTGTGTCAGAGCAATGCACTCCAGTAGAGATTTCAGTCTGCCAGGCTGAGGATACAAGAGCAAAGCAATATGTAGGCAGCATTAAAAATCATTTTTTGATTTGTCACAATCTTCTTTATTGCCAAGCAGATGAAATTAGATCAATTTGTTAGAGGTTTATCTAAGTAATGTTCTTTTACAAGGTCATCCTTTCTCTGCATCTACTCCAGTTACACTCCTGTGAAAGCTTATTACAAGTTTGGTTACATAAGTAAATAATATCCTGGATTTTAATAATTAAAAACGTACATTAAGGATGTGTTTATGACTTTACCTTTAAAGATTTGGCCCCTTTTTTATCTCCTGCAAACATTGACTTCTCATCAAAGTGCATTGGAAAGGATCTGCTCAAACAGAAAATTATAAAGAAAAATCAGCATACACTACAATTTATCATCTATCTTTACAGTATCACTCTACTATTTTATAATTACTCGGAAGTTTCTAGTTCATTTAAGATATGATACAAGAGCCTGTGCAGCTGGTGCTGATTAATGCAAATGCATACTATGAACATAGTAAATCACAAAGCCCCCCCCCCATCAAAATCTTTTTCCATATGTGAAGTGTGCATTAATCCGTATTAATATATAGCCTAAAATATCTTAGGCTACATCTACTCTACAGCCTGGATCAACACTCAGAGACTGATTCACTGACGATCAATTTAGTGGGTTTAGTTAAGAGAAGCCCAATTAACCAGAGATCACTTTTCCATTTACCCTGTTACTCTACCCTAGACAAGAAGAGTAAGGGAAGTAGATGGGAGAGTTTCTCTCCCCAACCCCCCCGCAGTGCAGATTCCGTGCTAACTCAAATTAAGGTACAGTGACTCCAGTTACATTATTCATGTAGCTGGAGTTGCATAGCTTAAGTTGACTTTCTGTTGTAATGTAGACGCAACCTAGATTTAGGTAATGAATAGCAATGTGAGCTTTTCCAATGCAAAGCAAAATGAAAGAGAAGGCTGAGTCACATAACAGAAGTGTAAAGGAGGTGACTTGCAGCAATGAAAATATGGGTTAGGTGGTTAGGGAAATCCCAAGTAGCAGTCAGAGTAGGAGAGGAAATTGAGAAACAGGGGATAACCTACTTGTGAAAACTGGGTTAAGCAGCAGGCTCTTTGCTAATGATTAGATGCTACATTTTTCTAATTTTCAACATAATTATGTATATTTTATATTCAACACCAACAAATCTATTTTGAACAACACATGGAAAAATGAGGGTCGGATTTTTAAAATGTTTCTTACTGGCTCTAACAAGAAACCTTTTCTCCTCCTTTTGTTTTTAAGCCCCTCCTTTTTTCCAATTCACCCTTCCAACTCATTTCCTCATTAATTTGTCCATCATTTTCTTTATCTGGCTTCCCCAAACCTATTAACCCAAAAGTCACTTCTTTTCCTGGAAGATTCCTGAAATACTAATGTAAAATCTCATGTCTCACTTTGTATCTCTGAAGATGTCTAGTAAGAGGGTTTTAGAGTCAGCATCCTCTTGGACATTTCCAGTGTAAAGGTCTACAACTGAACGCTCAAAGTACGGTGCAACTTTTGACAAAGCACGCAGCTCAATCAAATATAAGAAATATAAATTCTTTAGCCTTCTTGGTCCTTCTCCTTTTGTTTCAAGAGGGTCAAAGCGATGAATAAATTCCTTGACATTATGTCCCCAACGAGGCTTCCCCCAGGTTTCTAAGCAAAGAAGGGAAAGATGAATTTTCATTATAGCCAAACACACAGACTGCACAAATACACAAACTGTGTTTCCAACATACACACATCTGATAGGCTTCACACACCCCTCCACACACAAACAAATATTTCCAATGACCATTTAAGATGACAAATATTTTCAGAGTTCTTACATAAAAATATAAATTACCTTCAAGAAGATAATTTGCACACAGATGTAAATTGATGCTAACATGAAGTCCAGAAATGAGCTTATAGAATACTCTTTTCTCCAGACAAAGACCTGGTTAGAAATGATTATTAGAAACAGTATTAATATTAAAAATAATGTTCAGCAAAAATGTGATGAACAATGCAAATCTTGCATCTTTTAGCGTTAAGACTTAGAATTAATGAAAATGCCACATATTTAGTGTCATTTAAAAAATGCTTATTGTTTTCAGTCAGAATAGTTAAAATCTCAAAACTACCATCACAGTCAGGTCCTCTCCCTGGCTCTTTCTCCATAACAAACACACTTGTTCATTAGTGTAAGGCTTTTGTCAGCACCCAGAAAGGAGCATTTAAGTATTTGGTAAAAAAGTCCGGAGCAAAATTCCCATGCAAAAACAAAACAAAACGTGTCATGTTTATATAGTTGGGTGAAACAGATTGGAAATTATCTATTTAGGCCTCAACAGCTACAGAGACAATTATAGTGGTGACCATCCAGAAAGTTAAAACAAAAAAAATTAACCTAATGGTCACTGATATCCGCAATTGATATTTTATGCACAAATTTAGAAGAAACATTTGAATCTGCTTTTTGGTCTCAGGCACAAAAGCACAAAAATGGCAAGAGTAAAACAAATACGTTGAGAAAACTAGCCAAAATAAATGCAACTTAGTAGTGGAAGACTCAAGGCTACTTTTTAACTATAATAACGTAAAAATAAAGTTACGTAAGAAAAACTAAGAAAAAAAGGGCAGAAAAACAAGATTAAAAGCAGTTTCCTGGTACAATAAGGAGAACAATTTTATCACAAAAAAGGTGATGATCCAGGCATATGTCCAAACACCGTAGGGCATGATCACTGACACCACGTATGAGGTGGTTTAATTGAAAAGCTCTATAGTTACTCAGTGAGCTGAAGACCCAAAAGATGATGTTTAGTTCAAATATTAGAAAATTGAAACAAAATACTGAAGATATTTGAGGGACCAAAATCAAATTAAAGAGGGAAAAATGGTGAAGTATAAGTATTCACTGGGAAGCAAATCAGAAAATTTTTTTGAGGAATAATCTGAAGATGACAGTAGTGGTTGCATGACACACAAGAAAATACAGGACAACACAGTAATAGATGGCTGTAAGAAAAGGACATAGAATCACTTACAGAAGAAGGGGGCTAGAAGAAAATATGCTAAAGTCAAATTAACTAAAAAACATGTTTTCTGAGGTCAATAAGCAGAGTTTTCCCCAGCTTAGAGAAAGCAAACTGCTATGTATGCTATCTCTGAATGTTCTGGAAGAAGGGGTCATGGAATCTTAACTCTGTAGTTCTGCTTTTCATGAGGAATAACGCTATTCTAGAACTTGTAAGTCTGAAATAACGTTAGTGTGAATGCCGTTTGAACTAATTTGAACTAACTGGCCTCTGGGAGGGCTCATACAGCTCCCCAGAGTGCTTCCTGGCGCTTCGAGTCAGAGGTAATGTGTCCACGTTAACAGAGCCTGCCTCTGACTACTTTTGATTCTTCCCCATACTGAGGACACTGAACTTCATATTTGTAAAACTAGGTGCCCAGAAGTCGAACTTAGTAAATTCAAAATAATTGCATAGTGTAGACATGGCCTTCGACACTAACAAAAATATGTATATAATATCATGAGCTTCTGTGAGCAAAACCCACTTTGTCAGATGATGAGTTGGAGAGGGTTTTGCTCCCAAAATGATACTACTTGTATTTTTGTTAGTCTGCAAGGTGCCACAGGACTTCTTGCTGTTTTTAAAGTTACAGATAAACACAACCACCCCTTTGTAACTGTTTCCTAATGAATCAGACTCAGACTTTGAGGTGAAGACATACACACACTCCAGGCACCAACCAAATACGATTGACAGTGAGTAGAGGTAAGAAATTGGGAAATAATACTGGTTTTTGTTTTTTTTCTAATGCAACTAACATTAATTTTAGGCATCATACCAACTTTTCTTTTACCTTCTAGCCATGTGTAGAAAGATTCTCCTGAAAATAAACAAACATACAGTAAACCCATCAGTGTTCATCTGTAAAAATTAACATATTTCATGTGTAAGACGTGCACTGTATATTCTGAGGTCAGGAGCTTCAGGCAGTGCATGCTTTGGAGCAATACCATCAAAATTAAGTTGAGTTAACTAATTCCCTTCTTCCTGCAAGAAAGGGAATTATTCTAATTGTCAGAAACAAAACTGAAGAATAAAGGTAAAACTGTACTAATATATTGGGGAATCCATTTGTGGACAGTACCAAAGAAAGAAATAAAATCCACATGAGACAGTTTTCCAATAACACTTCTAAGGTACAAGTTCATTCCTAACTCTGGGTAGCAACTGATTGATTCATGTCCTGAAGCTTAAGAATTGAGATTTTCTAATTTTTAGTTTAGCTAGCATAAAGATGATATTTTTAGCTCTATAAACATGAGATCTGTATGACTTTGGAGTAGTTTCCCCCCCCCCCATCCCCCTCAGTGGTTTATAGCAGAGCTTTTTCAGAGTTTAATTATACATTGTATAAAACAGTATCACAGTTTTAATTTTGTTGCCTTCTAATTTAGTTGATTGTTACCTGGCTCTTGTATTAGGAAAAAAACAGGCCTGAATGACCTACACAACACCATTCATAAAGCTGGTCAGAACTGTTCATATATGTTCAAAAGGCATTTTTATTTATAGAACTTGCACTAAAACGGACTTTCTGAACTATATGAAAATTGTGGAAAGTTTTCATATCTTAAAATAATTCTATTTTCCCTATCAAATTGAAAAAAAAAATCACCTCCCAGATCCCCCCTTCATTTTTCACTCAATTTGCCAATGATGTAAAAGCAAAACAGAAGTGGGGGACCCAAAAATGAAATCTCAAAAATTGTATCTAACATGTGTTTCATTTCATTAGTGAAAAATTAAGATTTCTCCAAAATGTTTTAAGGAAGAATCTTATTTTTGAGCAGCCCACACCACTTATTATTTCACACACAACAACTCCACTTGTTTCCTTTGCAAACTAATTTTCCTAATGTTTTTACTCTTTGCTAATATGAAAGTCTCCTAGTGTCTTTAATAGTTTTCCACTTATTTTCTCTGGGTCATTGCTATTTCTACTTCAGGTTGAGCCTCAGGTGTTCCAGGACCAGAGGGGCCTGGCGGAGAGCTAGTGGGGACCCTGCGAAGTAGCTGAAGCCCAGTAGTGGGGCTGTCCTCTGGTGGCAAAACCGGAAGCCCAGCAGCAAGGCTGCAGCCTGGAGGCAATACTACCCAGCGGGGTCGGGAGACACCGGGGCTGCCTGGTGGTGGGGCCAGGAACCCGGTAGTGGGGTTGCCCTGTCGCAGCACAACCAGAAGCCTGGCAGACCTGCTGCTGCCTAACGGTGCATCTGCCCAATGGGACTGGGAAGCAGTGGGGCTGAGAGCTGACTGCAGGGCTGCCTAGTGACAGGGCCAGGAGTAGCGCTGCCACCTGGCTGAAGTGAGGTGGGCAATGGTGGTAGGAGGGCAGAAATGACCTCTCCTGGTCTGGCAAAATCCCTCATCCGGGACTTGTCAGTTCCTGAGGGTGCCAGACCAGGAAGGTCCAACCTGTCTATAAGGGTATGTCTACACTACGCCGCTAGTTCGAACTAGCGGGGTAATGTATGCATACCGAACTTGCTAATGAAGCCCGGGATTTGAATTTCCCGGGCTTCATTAGCATAAAGCCGGCGCCGCCATTTTTAAAAGCCGGCTTGTTCGAACCCCCGTGCCACGCGGCTGAACTACGTAGCCATTCCGAACTATCTGTACTCCTCGTAGTTCGAACTATCTAGCCCGTGCCGCGTGTAGCCGCGCGGCACGGGGTTCACACTAGCCGGCTTTTAAAAATGGCGGCGCCGGCTTTATGCTAATGAAGCCCGGGAAATTCAAATCCCGGGCTTCATTAGCAAGTTCGGTATGCATACATTACCCCGCTAGTTCGAACTAGCGGCGTAGTGTAGACATCACCCCATTTCAAAAATTAGGGTGATCAAAATTCACCACAGTCTTCAAGTTAAGAGTGTAACCACTGATTTATACACTAGCATATTTTCAACATTTTCAAACCCTTTCTTGACAGTTGAAAATTTTGATTATACTGTGCAGATGTTCATAGAGCTGTCCACAAGGACCCGTAGATCTTTTTAGAAATCAGCTATCAAAGCATTTCTTATCATACACTGGAAAAAAGAGGGGGACAAAAATACCCTCACCTATAAAGAAGCTGTCCAGGTTAAAAAAAAAAAGCTTTTATTTTCCTCTAATAAAATAAAAATATTACATCTGCTATCAACGGAAAAGAGGAGATACTCCAAGCACTATGCAATTCAGCCCCAAAAGATTTTCATTGAATGCTTTGTAATCTTTCCTTTTCTCACCTTCAATCTTCTTGCTAGTCATTTATTCCAGCAGCAAATCAATAAATATTTATATGGGGAAAAGACAGATGAATAAGCTATATAATGAGGGCAACTATCTTGCCTCTTTTTAGCCTCACTGGTTGAATGAGTCAAAATTATTTCTTCTTTAGAATGGTGAGGCAGTTTATGCAACAAGTAAATAATCACAGCTACCAAAGTAACATCCACTATAACTCCTACTATATATTTAATTATTATTGAGAATGTATTAATCAGTCTTACCTTCGTCCTCCCCTGGAAAAAAAGAAAAGAAAAAAATTGTATATAAAAAAATCTAGGAACATTAGAAAAAAAATTCTTCCACCCTATATGGAAAATGACATATATCTTGATACACAGATATTAAAGATGCAATAAATGCTTCTTTGGTTCATGTCAGGAAACTTACAAATAGCTTTTGTTTGAGCTACAGCCTATGTGCTTGGAGAAATTACAGGATGAGCTCCTATGGCCTGTGTCATGTAGAAGGTCTGAGTAAATGTGTAAATGGCCCTTTCTTGACCTTATAATCATTTAAGTGTACATGTTACATTATAAAACATGCTTAACATTTTAAATATAATTAGCATAGTACATCATTCAAATATACTTACAGCTGCCAATTGTTAATAACATCACTGTACTATGAGGACGACAGCTATGTTTTTAATTAAGACAAATTAAAACACACAGAAGGAAGTACTAGCAGGAGTAACAGACTCCTCCTGCATTGATGCAGATAAGATATAGGGCTATACTATGTTATTTTTTAAACTGATTACAATAGTGACATTTAAAAACAAAGTCTGGTTACAATTTCGTCCATGGTCCTCATTTACAGCAAAATGAGTCTTCCTTCATTTCCAGCATCCAAAGTCTGTTTTTGAATGTTTCATTGTTCTGGGAACTAAGGCAACTGTCAGTAGGGAAACTGAAGACTTCAATTTGGATTCATTGAGAAAATAAACACTAACTTATTTTCATTTGGAATTTTTAAAACCTAAATTCTGTTAGCAGAAAATGTGCCTACTTAACACTGCTTTTTAAACTTCCATCTTTAAGATACATCTTTCCCATGAAGCTTATGGAGCCCACTTTGCACAGTAGTGAAATGAACGTACGGTCACGAAAGCTCAGTTTATGACAAACTTGACTATGAAACAAAAGTTGTTACTGTGCATTGTGTTCGCCAATAAACATATTGAAGTGACAAAATTAGATGTACCAGGAAAAAAACTCAAATACAAGATCTGACTTATTAGGATACTGGGGTAAGGTTCTAACTCCCACCCATTTTCATATGTGCTTTTGACTCTCGTCTTATAACATTTACAGATGTGCTTTAAATTTGCACAGAAGTAGTCCTGTTGACTTTAATGAGATTATTGACATGTATAATATTAAGCATGTATGCAATTTAACATGATCAGAGTACTATTTTTTTAAACTAATTACGTTTTTGATACTGTAGGGACAATTTTTGTATTTCATGATCTAGTTTTTATCACTTTATATGGCACTAAGTGAACAACTGATGATACAACAGCATAGGACAGTATTTATGTCATCTGGACTGGAAACTTTACCAAGTTTGCCTTTGAAAGCATTTTAATAAGTACAAAGTAGTTAAGAGACTCACCCCTGCTGGGTGCCAATGGATTTAAAGGACGATAGACAGATCGAGGCCTGAAAAAAAGTTAAAAAATAAATGATTTTTGTATTTTGAAGAAATGCTATTGTTCAAAGTATAAACTGCATTTTCCTCCCTCCCCAGTTACTTGAAGCAGTTTTCTTCATAGATGCTGTTCCACACTCTCCATGCAGATGGTCCTTTGTATCCAGTGTAACGTTCTGGATTCAGCAGCAAATCCACATACTGTGCATCTGGAGATCGTTCATCTAAACAGGAAACCCTTTGTTACATATCCTAACCGATCACTTTAAAAGGACTTGAATTTCACAAAAATAAGTTATACAGAACTAAATTAAAGTGAGATCTGACATAAATACTTATCCTCCAATGTGATTTTAAACACTAGTATAGATATCCTGTATATATTATTCAGTACTATACACTTTAAAGATCTGCTTCACTCTATACAGATTCTTGTACTGCTCTCATTACTGTAGCAGCTGAGTACCTTTAAGTAGGGCACTATACAGGCAGTCCCCGGGTTACGTACAAGATAGGGACTGTAGGTTTGTTCTTAAGTTGATTTTGTATGTAAGTCGGAACTGGTACATATTGTAGGGGAAACTCTAGCCAAACATATTTTTTTTAGTTTTGGATAGCATAGGGAAAGGTTAACTCCCCTCTAATGTTTGTTTTGCTGTCTGTTCCCCTGTTCAGAAGATTTCACATCTATTTCTGTCCCTGTGACAAACTCAGGACTAAAGGAGTAACTCATCAAATACCAAACAGCTCTGCACCATGCTTTGAGCTAATAGCTTTATTTCCACACACCACCCAGGGTTCTAGGAGGAGGGTCCTTTTTTGCTAACACAATGAGGCCAGCACTTTGTTTGTTTTGGTGGAGTCTTTGTTTGCCCAGGGAGCCCAGCATGTATAGGGGGAGGAGGGGCGGAGAGGCTGCTTTTGTCTGCTGTTCGGCAGCCTGTTGCTCAGGGGAGGGGACAGCCTGTTGCTGGCGGGGGGGAGGGGGGAGGCGTGCAGGATGCGAGGCAGCGGGCATGGGGAGGCACTTTTCCTCTGCCCGGCAGCTCTGCAGGATCCCTGTCCCTGTGGCCAGCTGCTGCAGGCAGAGGCCAGTTGGAGCCGGCCGAAGAGGAGGAGGAGGTGGATTCTAGGACCCAGGTGAGCGAGCCCCGGGGACGCTGCTGCGCTCCGGGAGCCCGGCATGTATAGAGGGGAGGAGGGGCAGAGAGGCTGCTTTTGTCGAGGGGGCAGCCTGTTGCTGGCGGGGGAGGGGGGGCAGCGGGCGTGGGGAGGCACTTTTCCTCTGCCCGGCAGCTCTCCGGGACCCCAGTCGGAGCCGGCCCGAGGAGGAGGAGGCTCCTAGGACCCAGGTGAGCGAGCCCCGGGAATGCTGCTGCGCATGTGCGGGAGTTGCCTCACCCCGTTCGTATCTAGGGATCCGACGTAAGTCGGATCCACGTAAGTCGGGGACTGCCTGTACAACAAGACTAACATGTAGCATGAGTGGTACTCTTGTATTGTTTTTAAGAGAAGACTTGTGTATGCAAGTATAGTGTTTTATCTTTTTAAACATCATGCGTGCTTCTATGTATTTACAGTGGAGAAGGTGGTGAGGTGAGGTCAGTGGTAGTCCTTTGCTCCTGTGGGAGTTTGCATCACAGATTGTGACTATTGTAAATATTAGCTCGAATCCTGAAAACACGTATGCTCTAGCTTAAAAGTTAAGCATGCAAATGGTCCCACTGACTTCAATAGGACTACTCAGATGCTTATAGATTAGCACATCAACTTGTTTTCAGGATTAGGGTTCTATGTTAACAAATAACACTAAATGATAAAAACAAGACTGTCCAATGTTCAACTTCTTCTAAAAATCTGTGGTTAATTTTATAAAGTTATGATTGCTTTTATAAGTTGTAGTTATCACATTTTATTAATTAGCTAAAATAAATTTGTAAGATTTATTTTCAGATGCTTTAGTCAAAAATTTCAATGCTGCTAACTAGAAATATATTTTACAGTGCATTAAAGAATGTTCTTTTACTTAAGCCAGAAAAAGCTATAAATCACAACAGAGCATTTTAATCGCTCTCCTTTTCTCAACTTATATTATTTAAGTTCAACATGAATTCAAAAGGACTGCATTGAAATAGATTTTTCAGTGGTTTTTTTTAAATCAACTGTGAAAGATAACTTGGGAGTAGTATTTCAGTTTTTAAAATAAGTAAAAACTGGAAACAATGACAAATAAAATAAATCTGATTTGAAATGTCAAAAACTGCAACCTAATGTCAAGACTGTGTCCCTTAATCTATGACAAAAGTATGCCAGAGAAGCACCTGTGCACTTACTTTTGTAATACTGAATGATGAGCAACCATAGTAGAAAGTAAAAGTTACTAGCAATGAAAAAAGAATGCCATCAGAACAACAGTTAAGAGTCACTCAAGAAGGGGTCAAAAGGCTTGGGAAGGTGAACAGGCAAGGTGCATGCAGTAGGCAGAAACGATGAAAGGAGGAAGAAAAGTTTATGCAGACTATGAGTTCTAGAACTACAATCTCCTTTCCATAAAAATCCACACAAGCCAGAAAATGTTTTATGTGCTCTATAGTTTTATCTGTATCATTCTTAAATAAGTTAACTAAAATAAGCTACAATAATCATAACTACTACAGCATTTAGCAGAAACAACAGCCATGTTCTCAGATGAAGATAAATGTAAAAACCAGACCAATTTTTACTTATCAAAAGGAAAAGAGAATAACTTCAATCCAGGGACAAGGAAAAAAAGCCAGGCTGTGAAGAAACAAGTTCTTTCCATGCTCAATTTCTGAAGGTTAGCCAAGGGAATTAATTATACTCTTAGTCGTTTATTGACACAACAAAAGACAAGAAACCGAAAAATGAACAACTAGCCTCAGATCAGCTGGCTTGTAGGGCCCATGGTGCAAGGCTAAAAACAGGAGCATAAATATTTGGGTCTAACTCAGAGACTCTCTCTGTTCGCCAGGTTTCAAAGCCCAGGATCTAGCACAAGCCCAAATATCTACACTTCTATTCTTAGCCATATAGAATGAGCACTGGGGCACAAGTCAGTTTACACTAGGCTCTAACACTTCCAGGAAGTTTGTTTTTGCTTGTTTTGCTGTTTAGACATAGGTTCAAGCAATCAGGTTTATGCTTGCCCCAGTGTGGAAGGAGGATTTTGGCATCTTCAACAGTTAGTTATGCACAGTTTCATTTGCATGTCCATAAAACACACACCAGATGTCAGTACTAATTGAAAACTAGCTCCCTATGGCCCTAGATTTTGTTTTTTTCCTCTCTTATGAGCTTTCCTTCTACACGAGATGGTATTAGACTTTTATTCAGCATGCTAGCTGGAGTCACTTGCTGTTGGTCGGGGCAGGCGGTGGAGTCCTACCAGGGGTGCCCCGTGTGAGCGGTGGGAGCGAGCACAGGACCTAGTATGAGCAGAGCAGCCTAGCTCGCACCTGGGGCTGCAGGTGCAGTGGGGGGCAACAACCCCACCGCCCATCCCGAAACTTTTGCCCCACTACCTGCCGCACCATGGGCTGCGCCGGGGGCTCCCCTCTCCTGTGGGCCACAGTGAGCAGGTGCTGGGCTCCCCGTCACACGACCAGTAAGCTGCGCCACATCCCAGGCTGCTCCCAGCACCGCCGCCACCTCCCTATTGGGCTCGCCCCCCTGCGCCTGTAACCACCCCCTAGCGGCAGCCGTGAGCTCCAGCCCGCCGCTCGGCAACCCTCAGCCGCCAGAAGGGAGGGGCAGGACCAGGGCCAAATGACATCACGGGAGGGAGGGAGGAAGGGGCTCCCCCACCCCAGACGTGCCTGTGAAGTGGAACAGCCTGGTAGAGGCGAGTGGGGCAGCTGCCGCTCGGAGCACTGCCCTGCCCTGCCCCTCAAGCCTCTGCCACTGGCCTTAGTGATTGTCCCCACCACTTCTCCGGGGAAGCCACTTCTCCCCACACTGCCAAAAGTACCTTAAAACCTTCTCCTGGAGGAAAAGTTATCCCATGCAAAGTCTGGATGCAGTAGCGCTTATAGTGCCCAAGTTATTAGCACACAAACATTCTCCTTTATATATTAATCAATCATTAAGTCATCGGTAAAACACCTTTAAACTTATTTACTGACAGAGTAAAGCAAACATGTTTTAAAAAGTTATTCACTTCCATATTTATTTTTACCATCAAGTTCACAAAAATGGTCCTGTGAATCATCATATCTTGCCCAGTCAATGAAAGCCTCTTTACTTTGGTTACTGAGAAAGAGAGAAAATAAATACAGTTAATTGAATTTGACCTGTAAAAACATTTTTATTTTTTAAATTTATCCATGAAGCATGTCAAAAATAAGCAGTCAAATCTACATAAATTAATTTTGAATACAGAGAATTGATGGTAGGCCAAATCTCTGATTTTAAATTTAAAATGATTACATCCAAAACACTGGAACATATCAATGAGTTATTGCCTGTTAGATATGTGTTAATTTATCCCAAGGGAAAGAACACAAATGATTGTGTTCAAACTTACAACACCCTTTTCATGCCAAGCTGGAGCATAAATCTAATCTGTGCTAGCTTCCCACACACTAAGTGCCATGCGGCCATACTTCTGTGCACTAAATGTTCCCCTAGTACACTTTAGTCTACTGTGCATTGAAATAGGTGTAGGTTAAAGCAAACTAAGGAACTTTCAGTATGTGTGTGTGTGTTGGGGGGAGGGGGGGAGCGCAGTAGACACAAGCTTGCCAAGAACTATGTGTTTGAATAGACAAGCCTTTATATACTGTAGAAGAAACCCTGCGTTGGTAAAAGGTGAATGTAGGTCTTTGATCTCCTCTGCCCCATCTCTAACAACAGATTCTACAGTACAATAGGAGACAAGCCAATGATCTTTATTCTTCTTATAGGAGGATCCTCTTTGGGTTCTCCCCCCCCTCCCCCGCCCCAAGAAATTAATCATCACACTTCCCTAACTCTTCCTCTCCAATGACCTTTTTAGTATTTGTAATAAACTCAAATCTTTGGGTCTTGAGCTTTAGCAAACAATGGTAAGCCGTTTATTTACTACAGCATTTCAAAACCAAACCCCAAATAAACTACCTCTGACAGCAACCATGTGGTATCTTGGGAAGTAATGAACAAATTCCTTCAATCACCCACTCTTTTTGGCCAAGTTAACCCAAACTCAGTTTCACAAACCTAGAGCCCAGTTCAACAAGATCCATGGATCACTCTACCCCTGCCCTCCCTGCACTTTTGGAGACAGCAGGAAGAACCTGAATGTGTATCACGTGGAGAGAAGATCTATTCCTAGGAGCCCCCCCATTCTCAAGGCATAGAACAGAAATCCTGGGCCCCTGGACCAGATGTGGAGGGCTGGCTGAGGGCTGCCAGAAGGGGCAGTATGGGGGCCTAGCCTCCCCCATCCAGCCCCTCAGCACTGCCCAGCCTGCTCCGCCCAGAATTCCTGTGGCAATTTAAAGGACCTGGGTAATTGCCTCTTTTGCCCCGTCGGTAGCCCTGGGTGCCTAACACTGCTGCTGTCCCAGTGTGGTGTCACCACATGGGTGCAGAGCTGGACCATGGGTGACAGCTGACACACACAAACTGTCACCACTATCGTGATTTAACAGCAGTTGGGAGCCCCATACAGCCCAGGGCTTCCCCACTACTGCTACCACAATTTAAACTGCCGCAATTTAAAAGCAGCAGGAAACTACACCCAACCACTGCCATCACTACTGCAGCTGAAGTGGCACCCAGGAGCTCCAGGCCTTTTTAAGTTGCTCAGACACCTTGGCAATTGTCCCATTTGCCCTCCCCTGTTGGAAGCCATGCCCCTCTAGTCAACTTCCTGTATTTTTCAAGCAGGCAACCTCATTTTGATTAAATTCAGCCAAACAGACAGAATATAGGAGCCATTAAATGGTGTACTACTGGTTTTGCATGGGAGGCCAATACCTTCTGGCCTCCCCATAACTGCTCTTTAATTATCTTCCTGTTCTCTCCCCAACTAAATGTTCATTCTCCATGTTCCCAAGAAGCATACTAATCTCTGCATACATGCCAGCTGCCCACTCTCTCAACTCCATGAGATTTAGAAAGCATTTCACATTCTCTTTAACTTTGTTTTTCTTGGGGGGGAAAAAAAGTCAGACAGTCCAGTTTGGCTCTTTCTTCTTCAGAGAGGCAGAGACAGACAGAGAGGGGCTGATATTTTTTTTTTAAATAAAAGCTGCAACTTAAGAATCTTACTAGTCTTCTGATTTACTATAGCTTACACTGAACTTCCCGATACCAACATTCTTAAGATGTTGTTCTTAAGAAGAAACGTAAACATTTTATAAGTCAGATTTAACTAGCCAAAACTGGGCCCCGAAAGTAGTAGGTCTCTGCTAGGAAAAGACTCTAAAGTGTTTCTTATCCTTCTATCTCTTTTGGGAGGATGGGTATTACAAAATATCAAAACATTATATTCTGAAACTGTTTACGCACTCAGTTTTTAAGTGGGCTCTAACTTAAGAACCTCTTACCCAAATCATTTTGAGCACCATAGAAAAGTATTTTCTTATTTCAAATCAAATCTATTTCTGTTTTATTTCAATTGGTTTGCAAGGATGCAGCTGATCAGGGAGTAGTGGTTAGACAAGGGACCAAAGTTTTGTTGATAGTATTTACTCTAAGCATGGCTTACCTTAGAGTACTGTTAATTGCTCCCAGTTTGTTAGCTTGTTCACAGTCTTCTAATTCTTTGGTGCTGTTTATTCTTTTTGAGTACTGTAAGAAAGGTTGCATTTAATACACCAATATTAATGGGAGATGTCTTTTACCCCTTTTCTTAGAGAAGTGAGAGTTGTGCAGTAAATACAAATCAGCTGATGCGGAAAATGCAATGGAATCTTCTCCAGAATCAAAGTTAGACCCCCTTTTCAGTGGATTATTCCATCAATTAACCCTGAAAGCAAAATTTACTCTTACTTCCTACTGGTGTAGGGTAGAGCTATATCTGTCAGATTAGAGGGTATCAGCAGCTGAGGAATAGCAATGAGTATGGCACCTTTCACAAACATTGGGTTATTTAAAAAAAAAAAAAAAACCCACACAGACAGTCTGATCAGTGGAAGCTGTTGTTGTTCTAGTTGCCTTTTTTTTTCCCATTTGAGGCTGGGAAGTAATTTTTCCTTTCACTATCAAATTGGCAGGAGCAAAGTGGTTTTTTTTGCCTTCCCCACAGCAGGCTATGGATCCTTCAGTATAGGCAAAGTCAAAATGTTGCAACTTTTGGAAGTAAGTGTGGCACGTGTCCAGTGCAAACACTGTTAAAAAAGGATTGTTGCCTCAAAGAGAAACTGGAGGTGAATTTAAAGGAAGACATTCTCTAAAGTGCAGAGAAAGGGGCTGTGGCTCCTACTGACACAGCAAGATGACAACACCCTTTCCCCCGCTCCCCACCACAATTCCCCTTGATCCTCATAAGCGTGTTCCAGACGCCCAGTATCAGGGTAAGACTACGTTAAGAAGGGCAGACAGCAGCCTTCCCAAATCAGAAGAAACACTGAAGGAAGACAACCAGCTTGTCAAAACTGACAAGCATTCACAGACACTTTAAGCCACATCCTCCACAACTTGTCTTTCTTCCTGCTTTGCTAGAATATTGGAAGCTGGTTAGCAGTGCTTTGAGCTCATTTTAAACTCAGTGCAGTAATTGTTATTTTCCACTTTTTGCTTTACCATGCCCTTTGCCTTCTTACCCACCCTATGACAAATCCATGAACTGATGTTATGAACTATTATTCAGGTGGGGGTCTCAGAGTATGCCTCCACTGCAACTAGGTACTCATGCCTGCTGACTAGAGCTCACGAGGTTTCACTGCAGAATACACTTCTAGGATCGTAGTGGTGTTTGAGCTCTGGGACCCTCCCATCTCACAGATCAGGCTCCAGCCCGAGCCCAGAAACATACACTGTAATGAAACAGACCCACAGCCTCAGCTTTGAGAGTTTGCATGGTCCAGCTGCAGGTTTTTCCATTGGAGTGTAGGCATATCCAAAATCATCATGCAAATAATGCTGTCAAACCACGTAAAGAATCCACTATGTTTGGTGTCATTAAAGGCTTTCTGTGGAAGGTGTATCAAAATACTGTATCATTATGCAATATGTGATGTCAGCGTCCAGAACTAGAAGCTAAAAATAGAATCAAGTTAAAGAGGTTTTGATCAGGTCTTTAAGAGAAATCAGCCCAAGGAAGAAATGGTTAGATAAGCAGTTATAGAAATGTTACAGTTAATTTCTGAGCTCATTTTGTGGTCAAAATGTCTCCTAAACTTCCTTTCCTATTTTCTGTATATTTATTTTAAAAAAAAGTTTTTTGTTCCATCTGCAGCCCACGCACCAACACAGCAGCCATCCTAATCTACAAAAAATAATGTTGCTTAACAATGCCTGAGTGCTCTCAGGCAACAGAAGGAAAAGAGATTTGCACACAGTCAGCATGATATCCATATTTTTAGTGCATACATATTTATAAAATATGTAAATTGTTTTTCACAATGAATGTTACACGAATAAAAACATTACAAACTAGCATTTATTTTTTATTTCTGCAATTTGAAATCATTTTATAAATAAAACTTTACAGAATGCAATAATAACTAACAAACAGCAAGTTTACACAGCATAAATTATAAAGCATTTAGAATACTAGGTTATAATAGAAAATGATGGACTTTTACTTCAGATCAGCATTGTATAATGATATTCATGCAAGTGGTTTGATTTGGTGTTCTGAGACCACTGCCTATCGTGCTGGCCGAAACTCTCATTGTTTTCTTGTACTCCCTCATCTATTGTCCCAACTGAAGTCCTTTGGGGGCAGAAAAAGTCTCTCTTCTGTGTTTATACAGCACCCAACACAGGGTTCCTGTTTGATAACATCTCAGAGCCCTAATTGTGGCCAGGGTTCCCAAACTATGTACTATACATAGGTGTTGTGCTCAAGCAAAGGGGCAGCATGAAAATATACTAAGACTGAGAAAAGAAAGATATAGCAGCAAGGACAACAATCAAGGTAAGTATAAGAGGGATCAGAGCAGAGAGGTGGGCAGTGGAGAGATTACGGAAAGCCCTAACGGGGAGGGGAAAAGGATCTTTAATATAATGCAGAAGAAGTACAAACCAGTGAAAAGGAGAAATGAGTAGTTTGAGTGAGATGGTGATGAGACCATCCAGGCAGTTACTGGAATTCAGAGTCTGAGATCAGACAATGTACAGCTTTCTTAAGAAGTAGATTTTGGAGAACTGGAAAGGATAAATTAAGAAGAGGCGAGCAGTGGGCTCATGACCTTACAAATAATTAGAGACTTGTTTAAGCTCACAAAACTCACTGTTGTGGTTAGTTTTCATCGCAAAAAAGATTAAATGCATAAAAATACTGTGACAAAAATCCCTTGACAAAGAGCCCCCTGTTCTTTGCAACATCTCACCTTAGACTTAATCTCACTAAACCAAATGCCTTCCACATTATTCTAATGGAAAAATGGTCTGTAAGACATCTACACATAAGCACAGGAAACCAAGTGCTACTCATGTGGGTCCATTGAGCACATGAAAAGCGATTGTTCTCAATAAGGGAAATTCAAATACAAGCCCCCTATCAGCCCAGATTAATGAAGCTACTGTAGACTCATGACCCAACAGAGATCTCTGAGGGAACCCTAATTAATTATGTAAGGTCTAAAGCATTGGCGGTGGATATAGGCAAATGGCAAAGTATGTCTAGATTGGAAGGACACTTGCACACAGATTTCTCTCGCTAGAAAAGAGCAGTATAGAAGCTGACATGTGTCCAGGGAAAACATAGAACTCTGTACATTTAATTTCAGATTTTCCCAATGCAAACTTAGCTCAAGGAGAGCTGGAGTCAGAAGTTTTATGTGTTGGTCTATTGGACAGCATTTCAGAGAATCTCTCAACTGGTAAAAGTGATAGAAATGTAGCTGTGTTAGTCTGGTGTAGCTGAAACAAAATACAGGACTATGTAGCACTTTAAAGTCTAACAAGATGGTTTATTAGATGATGAGCTTTCATGGGCCAGACCCACTTCCTCAGCTCAAATAGTGGAAGAAAATAGTCACAACCATATATACCAAAGAACACAATTAAAAAAAATGAATACATTTGAAAAGGACAAATCACATTTCAGAACAGAAGCGGAATGCGGGGGCGGGGGGAGGTAAATGTCTGTGAGCTAATGGTATTAGAGGTGATAATTGGGGAAGCTATCTTCGTAATGGGTAAGATAGTTAGCGTCTTTGTTGAGACCGAGGCACGCGTAGAGTGTCGAATTTTAGCATCTCCCCACCCCTTCCTTTAGGCCTCATCCTCTCTGTTCCCCTCCTCTCCATCACTTGCTATACCCAGCCCTTATACAGTCTCACTAGGTTGAGACAGGAGGAGTGGGGTGGGAATGAGGGGTTTGGGTGTGGGAAGGGGTAAGAAGTACAAGCTCTAGGAGGGAATTTGGATGCAGGAAAAGGGGATGTTGGCTCAGGGAGGGGGCTCCAGGCTCGGGAGTGTTGGGCTCAGATGGAAGGTTAGGGTATTGTGCAAGCCATGGGCTTGTGGGTGGTCTGAGACGTTTGTCCAATATACAAAGCAGACGGACAAAACAGATATTAGACAGGGTCACAAAGAAAAAACAGTTTCTTGCCATTTCAACCAGAAAGGACACTGTCTCAATGACTTAATTACCTGCATCCTGCTGCAGAAGCCTTTTAAATCTGCACTTGAAAGGGAATCCTCTGCACCGTCATACATGCTAAAATTCAACACTCCACGCGTGCGTCGGTCTCAACAAAGACGCTAACTATCTTACCCATTACAAAGATCATCTAATAAACCATCTTGTTAGTCTTTAAAGTGCTATATAGTCCTGTATTTTGTTTCAACTGGTAATGATATCTTGTCTCCAGTAGCTGAAACAAAATACAGGACAATGTAGCACTTTAAAGACTAACAAGATGGTTTATTAAATGATGAGCTTTCGTGGGCCAGACCCACTTCCTCAGATCAAATAGTGGAAGAAAATAGTCACAACCATATATACCAAAGGATACAATTAAAAAAAAATGAATACATTTGAAAAGGACAAATCACATTTCAGAACAGAAGGCGGATGCGGGCGGGAAGGAAGGTAGATGTCTGTGAGCTAATGGTATTAGAGGTGATAATTGGGGAAGCTCTCTTTGTAATGGGTAAGGTAGTTGGGGTCTTTGTTCAGCCCCACCCCCCGCAGAGAGTGTCGAATTTTAGCATGAATTACAGTTGAAAATTAACAGATTTAACTCACAGGCTATGTGAGTCTTTCAACACAGGAATGTAAATGAAGGACTTTGGAATTGCTAATGAAGTGCTGATTTACAAATTTCACACTTCATTTGCATAATGAATTCGATTATGGGGGGGGGAGGGTTAGCTCAGTGATTTGAGCATTGGCCTGCTAAACCCAGAGTTGTGAGTTCACTCCTTGAGGGGGCCATTTAGGGATCTGGGGAAAATCTGTCAGGGATGGTATTTGGTCCTGCCATGAGGGTAGGAGACTGGACTTGATGATCTCAAGGTCCCTTCCAGTTCTATGAGATGTATAGGTATAATCGCTTTTTCAAGAGAATTTTTTGGGAAAAAAAAAACAGTCTAGATGTGGAAAAACATCCTCTCTCGAAAGAACCTGTAAGTCTAATTTTTTCAGGCATAAGGGTCCTTTCAAAAAAGGGTTCCCCCCCCCCCCGCCCCGAAAGAACTGCGTCTAGACCACTTTTTTTCCCCAAAAAAATCCTCTCGAAAAAGTGATCAGAATCCATTATGCAAACAAGGCGTGAAATTTTTAAATCAGCACTTCATTTGCAATTTTAAAGTCCTTCATTTGCATTCCTCTGTCGAAGGAGAAATGTAGTCTAGACGTAGCCACAGTAAGCAAAAGCTGGACTAGTTGCTTCTCCCCTACCCTGCCTTGCTGCAAAGAGGGAGAGGAGCAGGCGCCGGAGCAGGGGGGAAGCCTCCTTAAAAGCTAGTTCCCCCAGCACCATCTCTACAGTGGCAGGGGGGGCAGGAGAACAGCGGATTCGTGGCTCACGCCCAGTATCAGATGAGGAGTCTCTGCTTTTTAAAATGTATTAAGAGCCTGCCAGCTGTTACATTTCAAAAGCAGAAGCGCAGCGGAGAGACGCGGCGTGAGCCAGAACAGCTGATTCCCAGCTCACGCCGGGCCCCCCCACTACATTCTAACACTTTTACATTTAAGGCTTGCGCCAGGTCCCCTTGCTGTGCTTCAGCCTTTTAAAGGCATTAAGAGCCTACTTTACTGAAGTGGCCTTGTAAATCGGCCCAGGGAAGAGCAAAACCCCCAGCAGCCAGTCTCTGGGGTACCACCACACACGCACCCCCCAAGCCCTGCCTGCCATGCGGTGGGGTAGGGAGCCAGCGAGCACTAAGTTGCAGGTTCCTGCCGCCCCTTGGAGCGCATGTGGTTGGGTGCCACACCCAACTCCCCCAGGAAGGCAGAGTCCAGCTCCAAGCGCGCTAGTGGGCTCACTGGGGAGCAGGCCCCACATTCCCACAGCCATTGTCCGAAAGGAGGCATATTACCCCCTGCCTGTCCTAGCTCGCTTGCTCCTTTGGAGCTCTCAGCAAACCCCTCAGGGTTGGGATTAGAATGAGGGGCAATTTCCCTTTGCACCACAGTGCTGGTTAAAGGCACTTTGCGGGTCTGGGGGCACTCTGGGCGCAGTGCTGCAAAGCGAGCAGTGCTGAAAAAGCAGAAGCAACCATTTGGGCACAAAGTGTCCTAGTAAAGGTAGGTGCCTGGTGGGGGAATGCAGGTTTTTCCTAGGGTGGGAGCGAGCTTGGGTTCACTGCTCTCTGGACTGCAGCTGCTTCCGTGGGGCAGGCAACTAAATAGCTTCCTGGGATCACTGGGAGGCAGCAACCTATGTGGCTGCTGGGCCTTCGCTTGGCTTTGTGCATCACTTAAAATCTCATACTCAAGTCGCACGAGCTACAGCGAGAGAGAGAGAGAGAGAGAGAGAGAGAGAGCGCGCGCACGAGCGCACATGTGTGTGAATAAAAATCATTTTACCAATCACTGTTTCCACTCAAATTTTTCATTAACCTCTCTTATGCACTCTCATTGCATGACTATTTTGAACTCCTTTATATTTTAAAAAATTGCAGTCCACATTTTCAAAAATTCACCCTCTCCCCCAGAAATTCCTGCATATGGGCCTGTACTTGGGATACTTCTCAGGCTACCCAGGACTGCAAGTCACCCCATTACTCCTCCAGGGTACCCTCAGAACTACCACCATATGAAGAGCATAAAATTGTTTAGATTGTTTCTTGTATTTGAAAGTTACAGGTACAAGTACATAAGGAGCTTATGCAACCAAAATAGCAAGAGTCCATTGCTGCTGTCTAAGGGTATGTCTAGACTACATGCCTCTGTCGCCAGAGGCATGTAGATTAGGCTACCAGACATAGTAAAATGAAGCGGCGATTTAAATAATCACCGCTTCATTTAAATTTACATGGCTGCCGCGCTGAGCCGACAAACAGCTGATCAGGAAAAAGACAAGAGGTGCCAGCATCTGGGACTTTGGTGAGACCTCTTAAAATGTCTCAAGTGTTGTGTATATGGAGCTACTAGTTCTTCTCTAGCTAAAGTAGGATTTTTAAAGCAAGAAAAGAGTGTGGCTTCATCAAGCTGAAAGTTACTCATTTTCAAAATAAAACCATGTGGAGAGAAGGGAGACAGCTCAGTATTTACACAGTCAGAATAGGTGGCACACATCATTTAAGTCAAATCATTCTGGCTCCTTTACCTGAAATTCTGTTGATTAGATTCTTCCATTATGTTCATCATTGTGGGCTGTGTGTAGCCGTAACATACTGGAACCCCTGCCATACTGTATATCTGGGGACCAATAAGGCAGCTCACAATAGAGCGCCGCAGAACTGAGGAAGGACAAGGAGCGTATTTACAAGAACTATGATTCCCACAGATGGTCCTACAACATTCCGTAACAGAGCCACCATTCCAACTTGCCTTTTACTAGATGTAACACAAAGTCTGTTGAGACTCAATGCTGTCAACACGGAATGTTGGATTAAAACTTGTGGCAAATCTGTAATACCGAAGAAAAATACACATGCATAATATTTTATTTACCCACAATTTTCACACAAAGTACAGAAAAGACAAAAGGATTTTAATAAGCAAAACAGACACAAGATGACATTACAAAATAAAGCTTATCACTGATCTCAGGAAGAAAGTGTGCAATAAAAACTATACAAAGTATTTATAACTTTGGGTTTAATTTATTTAAATAGAAAAACAGCTTGGAAAATAAAGTGACATTACTTACTTTATTAGAACTTCCAGCTTTAATGCCAACTGGTACTTTACTCTAAAAATAAAAAAACAAAATAACACTTTTTGCACTGTCACAAGTGATCATGCCACAATGCCTGTAAGATTCATAGTTAACCAAACTATTAACTGTTTTCTGCAAGTTGACACCTTTAATTCCTGGAATAGCTCCCTGTTTTCTAAATTTATGGCAGAGGTTGAAGCTCTCTAGTCCGGAATGATTTTAGTTAGTCAGATGTCCATTTATGGGTGTGGCCAAGTTTCCCACAGTCCCATAAAGTTTGTTTACAGCCACCAATCTTGTCTCTCTGTTCTGTGCTGTTATTTAGCTCTAATTGACCCCTAAATATATTTTAAGAGCCCAGTAAAGCAGGGGAAGTGTTGGTAAAGGTGCTAGAAAATACTCACTTCCAATGTATGGGCCAACTGTTTGGTTCAGTACCAGTCAGGTTCAGAAGATGCCAGATTAGAGAAGCTCACCCTGTATTGCAACACAAGCTAAACGCAGTTGGCACCTTCTAAGTTGAACGATTATTTCTATGAATTATTTTATACTTATTTTTGCCTGGCAGAATAACGAGCAATACCTAATACTTCGGATGTCCATCATTCCATTTTACTGTTAACAGATACTATTATTTAAAAGTATTTCAGTTGTATTATCCTGGTCAAAAAATGGAAATAACTAAGTTTATTACTGACAATTTCTTTTACCAATTTAAGATTACACTAGCAAACATTAAACATTAGAAACCAGACATACATATTTACACATCAATTTGTCTAATAAATGTTCATCCCTATACTACAGTTCGAGAAAGACAACAGAAGTTTGAAGGAAATATTTGTCCCCAACAAATATGAACACAAACCTTAATTATATCTGCCAAATATGATTTTTTTATTGCAAGTCTGGAGAAGATTATCTTTCAACTGTCAAACTATGACCTTCAACTCAATAGCAAGGGTGGAATTCAAGTTTATTGTGTATACATTCCAAAAGAATAAGTTACACAGTAAAACTCCAATTGTCCAGCATCCAGTGGTCCAGCACCAACTGGAACCCGGAAGCGTTTCGGCCAGCCGGACAATTGGAGCTGCTGTGAGCCCCATGGGCGCTCGCAGCTGGGAAAGGGAAAGGGAAGGGGAGAAGAGGGGAAGGGGACTATACCCCTGAGACGGGTCTGCTGGAACCCGCACTTTGTCCAGCCAGGGAGTGCGGGGAACAGCAAGGCAAGGGGCAAACCCTCCGCCATTTTGCAGGAAGGTGGTAGAGCACCACGCAGCCACCAGAGACAGGCCAGCTGGGGAAACACAGCCACAGGCCTGCAAGTGGCAGCGGAGCAGAGCCAAGTCCCCGAACCTGCCCCGTTTGGGCTGCACTCAGCCCTGCGCCACCGCTGAGAGTTTCCGGGAGGGGAGCGGGCTCCCCACCCCCCAAACTGTTTAGTTATCGCCGAGAAGGGGGGTGAGGGGCGGCGCTGCAGGACCAACCCGGCAGCATCCCCGCTGCTCTGCTCTGCCACTTCCCCAAGTCCACTGCTGTCACTGACATGCAGCATGATTCCAGGAAGCTGGGGCAGAGCAGCTCTGCCTTGAGCTTCCTGGAGTCAGCCGCTGGTCAGTTTCAACAGCAGCTGAATCGGGATGCCTTGGACAGAGCAGCTGGGGTGCTGCGGGATTGGTCCTGCAGCACCTCCCCTCACCCCCCTGCAATAACTACTGCAGTCTAGAGGGTGGGGAGCCCGCTCCCCTCCTGGAAACTCTCGGCGGCGGTACAGGGCTGAGCGCATCCAGAACGGGGCAAGTTCGGGGACTTAGCTCTCTCCCGCTCTCCTCTGCTGCTGCTTGCAGGCCCGCAGCTTGGTTTCCGCAGCTGGCCTGTCGCCGGTGGCTGCGCGGGGCTTCCCCCGCCATCATGCAAAACAGCAGAGGGTTCGCCCCTTGCCGCACCGTTCTCTGCTCACCCCCCGGACACAGTGCAGGTCCCGGCAGACCCGTCACAGCCCCCCGCCGGAGTACCCCCGATACTCCGGCATATCCGATAATCTGGCACCACCGAGGTCCCAAAGGTGCCGGATTATCGGAAGTCTACTGTACATACATACTGCATACTTGTCTTCAACACCCAATAGGGTGATGGGCTGAAAAATATCAATTACTATTGATTTTACACTCAGGTGTTCCATGACGTTTCATTAATCGATGTTTGCAGATTGCTTTGGTATCTGGATGAAAGAATGCAAACTATTCTGATCATCAAATTGAGGAATAATTGACCCAGATTTTCAAAATGAGCCCCACAGAAAACGGCCAGATTTTCAAAAGGTGCTTAGGACCCAAAAGCTGCTCCCATGAGTACGGAGGCTTTTCATGACACTTGCTTGGTGTGAGAAGGACAGAATGGCCTTAAGATTAGAAACACAGGAAAAAGCAAAAGCATAATAAGAGTTCTGATTTAATGTAGTAGGAGCTCTGCAGTTTAAATGTAGTAGGAGCTGGGTGTGCAGTCAGCTTAGCTCCTACTACATTTAAACTGCAGAACCACAGTGGGGATAGGTTCCGGACCAGCACGAGTCACAACAGAGCTGGGACCACTGCAGTTCTGCATTTAAAATGCTTCATAGCAACAGCCCCTGTTCATGGGGGGTCCCAGCTCCCTGTTGGGACCGCCCCTCCCCCACAGACAGGGGCTGCTGGCGTAGCAACTTCGTGTCTCTCCTCCAGCCCCAATTCTGCCTCTTAGAGGCAGCAGCATGGGGGAGGAGAGGAGGCAGCACCAAGGAGATGGTGCTGGGGTGGAAATGGCTTTTAAGGTGGCTCCCCTCAGCATTGGCTCCTGTTTCCCCCCTTTCCTTGCTGCCTCTCATGCAAAGGCAATGGGAGGAGGAAATAGTTGAGTACTCAACTACTCACTTACATCTCTACTCCTGTGGCATCTTAAGGTAGGTCTAAACTACATCCCTTTGTTGAAAAAGATGTAAATTAGGCAAATCGAAAGTGCAAATGAAGCAGGGATTTAAATATCCCGTGCTTCATTTGCATAATCACATCACAGCGGTCTTTTGAAAAAGGGTATTTCGAAAGTGAAACTGCCATCTAGAGGTTCTCCCCCACAGCAGTTTCACTTTCAAAATACCCTTTTTCGAAAGACTGCTGTGATGCAATTATGCAAATGAAGCACGGGATATTTAAATCCCTGCTTCATTTGCACTTTCGATTTGCCTAATTTACATCCCTTTTTCGACAGAGGGATGCAGTTTAGACATCCCTTAGAGACTAACAATATATATAAGTGTTTTCGGTTAATCTCTAAGGGTATGTCTACTCTACCACTCTAGTTCTAACTAGGGTGGTTAATGTAGTCATTCGAAGATGCAAATGAGGCCCGGGATTTAAATATCCCGGGCTTCATTTGCATCTTCGAATGACTACATTAACCACCCTAGTTCGAACTAGGGTGGTTAATGTAGTCATTCGAAGATGCAAATGAGGCCCGGGATTTAAATATCCCGGGCTTCATTTGCATCTTGCCGGGCGCCGCCATTTTTAAATCCCCGTTGTAGATAGCCTAATTCAAACTAACAGGGATTTAAAAATGGTGGCGCCCGGCAAGATGCAAATGAAGCCCGGGATATTTAAATCCCGGGCTTCATTTGCAACTTCGAATGACTACATTAACCACCCTAGTTCGAACTAGGGTGGTAGTGTAGACATACCCTAAGGCAGGGTTGAGCAATCATTTTTGGCCGGGGGCCACTTCAAAAATTTCTGAACTGGCCCTGGGCTGCCCTGAATGCTTTTCCCCACTCCCAAACCATAACTGGATCCGGCCTGCAGAGGCCCTTTTGCCCACCCCTTCTCTAAAGTGCCATGGGACTACTCATTTAAGACACATACTAACACAGCTGCCCTTCTGAGATATTTTAACATTAACTTGGCCATGTTTCATGTACGTTCAATTGTCTATACTCTTTTCTTCTGGTTAAATCTATAGTTTCATATATGAAACTGCTTATCATATAAAGTCTATACCATAAGTTAAGCAACAAAGCCTAGTTAAAAATCTCACAGAAGTTAGATATATAGATTTATTTATTTCACATCACCATCTGGTAAGTACCAAGCATAGTTCACAATTAAGGGTGAGACAGTACAGCTCACTGGGAGCCAGGAGACCTGGATTTTTTTCCTGGCTGAACAAACTCCTCACTATGACCTAGGTCAAGCCACTTAAATTTTGTCACCCTCAGTTTCCCTATGTATAAAATGGGGATGTTTGCTCTCCCATATACAATCCTGGTGATCTCTGGATGATTAGCAGAAAACAAGTTGTAATAAAAAAATGCCAAGTATAAAACCTACACTGCAGCAGCTGAGCCAGTTTTGTACAAGAACAGATATAAGGTACTGCATCAATAACTTAAAAAGAATTATGCATTCCACTCCATATACTACTGCTCAACTATCTTATACCAATATTTACACATCAATGTAATGCTTTACGCTGTCATCTGTTAGAAAAGGAAAAAATGCACAACTATTAGAAGTTTAAAACAAAAACTGAAGCATTTTAAAAAAGATATACAGCCTGATCACACTTCCTCATGAACATTTTTATCAACTATTGTTAAGTAAAACCAAAAGATTACTATAATGTAAAACTGTTTAACTTACACATCTGGATAGTGCTTTAAGTAATCATTTTCCCTTTTCACTAATGATGTTGGTCATGAAATAAGACCACTATGAAGGGAAATAATGACTTTAAATGAGAAGAATTAACTGAACTATGCATGTTCAAGGTTTGGAAATTGAAAAGTTTGGCATTTGCAGTAGTTCTGAAGTATAAAATCTTTAAAAAAAAATCTGCATGGGAGATAAAAAGCGATTAATTTACACCAGGAGATAAACCATAGAAGAAGTGAGAGAATAATGATTTCTTGTTTTACTTTGATCCATACCTCAGGACAAGGTTCTACATGACAATCTCTGATAGAACAGTGGCCATCATCAGCCCAGAATGGACATGGTCTCTTAAGATTGACCTAAAAATAAAAAGACAGGAAGAGAAGTATGTTATTAGCCAACTGATTTAGAGCTACTTGAAGATCTAGAAAAAAAAACTCTTCATTCTTCAGCAAGAAGACTGTGCTGGTGTGAAGAACAAGGACTCTAATGATTAGACAGTCTAAACTTTTTAAAATTGTTAACAAGAAATGAATACTGAAAGTGGGAGGATTGATTAAGAGATAACCAATGAACTCTTTCACAAAGATTGCCCCTTCAGCCTAATTTATAATACCCAAGATCACACAAATGAATTTTGTCCATGTACTTAAAAAGATTTTGTAGCAATAACTGACCTTCTAAAACTTATGACTGAGTTTTGATTTTGGGTTGTTTTTGCATTCAGAACACAAATATCTTTAAAAAACAAGCAAGTTCTTACCTGTAAATAGTACTTGATTTTAATCCACTTAAGTTTGCATTTCTTTATTAAGGCCAATATATCAGATATATGATAAAACCAGTCAGAAACTATTACAAGTTTAAACAAAGCATGTCAGCATAATTTCAGAATTCAAACTGAGAAACAGCTGTTTCACTGATTCATTGTGAAATATAGTCAACAAAAATAGCAGAATACTAATGCTTTCTTAACCAAAGAGCTCATGTACTTACTTTATTTGGAAATTTAGAAAGACTTACCAAAGCACAGCATAATACTTGGTTACACTTAAAATAAAAGCACATGAAATTTATGCTAGTGTAAGCAGTAGTAGTGAAGAAGTGTCAACTGATGAATGGTGTACATGAATGGCATTTTCTGACAGATTGCTATTTGCTATGAAATCGGGTATTCCACTACACAGGGATATTTCTATTTAACCAATAAGCCAGGGCTTATTGGTTAATCTATCGACTACACACATCCCCCCCTTGCTGCCTCTATCAGAGGCAGCAAGAGGAAGTGAGGTGGGAGCGGGAAGCCAGCTTTTAAGCCAGCTCCTTGTGTGTATGGGCTCATGCAAGCCACTCGCCACTGCCTCTCTATCGGGAGGTGGCGGCGGCAGGAACCAATATATGTGCCAGCTCTGCGGAGCCACGCCCCCCCCCCACTTGCTGCCTCCCACAGACAGCCATGGGGGGGCAGGCAGGAGCCAGTGTGAGGCGGGAGCTGCCTGCGCTCTCCTTCAATGCTGCCTCTATCATAGGCAACAGTGTGGGGAAGGGAGCAGCCTCTGTCCGCTATGGAGCAGCCTCTGTCCGCAGCAGGCCCAGGCTCACCATCGCACTGTCTGCAGGGAGCTCTGTATCAGAGGCAGCAGCGCAGGGTGGCAGGGGGCCCCCAACCCCAGAGATGATCAAACAGTCATGTAGCCAATAATTTGATGCAGTTACACGACTATTCAATTAATCACTAACATCCCTAGTATGAAATATTACAATGATAAAAATGCTCAAGAGATTCAGAACTGTTCAACTCTGATATTATACTTTTTAACAATGCAAGTTAAAACAAAAAAACCCATTTTCTTGCCTTTGATTGAGCCAAAAAACACACTGATGAGCAGTGAAACTATGCCCCTGCCCTCTGTTTACCTCACTAAGTCTTTTGTCTTCAATCCCCAGACCTTATTTGTGATTAGAAATTTAGCAGTTTAATTATACCAGTATAATTATACCAGTAAATTTTCCCATTTAGACAAGCCCCCTGAAAATTAGACCTTTGAAATCAAACACTATTTCCAATTGAAAAATAAATCAGTATATTCTCAAGCCTTTGTACATGATTGTCAAAATACCTGAAGCTTAAAAAATGGCAGATTTCTGAGGAAAAAACAAACAAACAGTGATCATTTAACTCTTTTATGTCTTTGATACATATACTTTAAGACCTCAGCATTTTGCTCTTCTTTTTAATGTGGTTTGTACAAATGTTCCCTCGGTGAATATATACTACTCAGAGGCACCCAGTGGATTGGCGTACTGTATTTAGATCCAGTGCTATCCAACTTTAACATCTTGTTAAGCAATAGTGAAGTACCACTTTGAAACTGATAAGAGGAAGGGACTTAATCATGCTGTCAAATACACAGGCTCCAAACGTTATAAAAACTCAGCTACTTTTCTGGAATGCAGCAAAACTAATCCAATAATGCAAGACAGTATTACCTCCTAATAAAATTCAATACTAAACTTAAGCTAAAACCCTGAGAAGCATATTTGATGTCAGAATTATTTTTAAGTAATTTAACATTTATATGCAGACTCTGAAGACTTCCAACAGGAAATGAAACCCAAGTATGTTCTTTTCATAAAACAAAAGCTCCATCACTGCCTATTTCTTAAATATCTATCAAAGCACTCCATACTCTAATCCTACAAAAAACCTTGAAATTAGAAAATTTACAACAAAAACATCTTAACTACGCACAAGAATAAAAAGAGTTTTTTTACATGTTTTGGAAAACATGCCACAAAAGAAATAAGGAACTGGAGATGCTAATGGCCCCTATCACCCAGGTGAAACTACAAGGCAATGCAGGGACACATGCAGACTGTCAAACAGTATATTATTTTCATAAACTCCAGCTCTGGACAGACAGTGCATGCACATTACTCTCTATGGAATGTAACTAAGTATCCAAAGACAGTTAAGTAAGTTGTCCATTGTCACACAGGAAGTTTGCATAGAAGCAAGGAACTGATCCTGGATTTCCCAAGTCCTCGAGTAGACTATGAGTACAGAGAACACAGGTACCACAAGTCAACCACTCCTTAATAGCATTAGAAACCTTTGATAATTATTGTTTTAGATAGCTGATTAAACACCATTTAACATCCCTAATTGACTAGTTGATAAGGTGGGGGAACTTCAGATCAGCAGCGGGGTCAGCTCCCAGCTTGGGAGCGAACCCTGCTGCGGCTCTGCCTTTTAAACATATTAAGAGCCAACAAGTTCTTAATACATTTAAAAGGCTGAAGCTCAGCTGGGGGGGGGGGGGGGGGGGGGGGAGTTGGGGCAGCTTGCATCTAGTCACTCCTGCTTGTGCTGTGCTGACGGCTCTTAATACATTTAAAAGGCCAAAGCACAGTTGGGGGGAGAAACCAGGCATGAGCCAAGACAGCTGATTCTTGGCACACACCCAGTCCCCGACTACGCCTCTGCTTCTCCTGTGGAGATGGTGCTGGGGGAAACCAGCTTTTAAGCTAGCTCCTCCCAGCACTGGCTCCTGCTCCCTGCCCCTTGCTGACTCTAATAGTGGAGGGGAGAGGGGGGAGGAAGTGGGGAGGTGGAGGAGGAGGAGCGAATAGTCAAGACACTAGTTGATTATCCAATAAGCATATGCTTATGTCAGGGATGATCCCCTCTCTGGCATTAGTTGATTAAACGCAATTTAACATCCCTAGCAGAAAGGCAAATACAGTGTTTCAATTCACGTTCTTAATAAAGCAAACTGCATTTCTTACTGAAAGAAAAAAAAATTTTGATCCTCATTATAGACTGAGGAATAAGATATCCCTTACTTATGAATACAGATTGGACCTCTCTGGTCTGGCATCCCGACTGGTCCCAGACAAGGGGATTTGCTGGACCAGGGGAGGTCCCTCCCCTAATGGCCCATGCTAAACAGATTTAAAAGAGAAAAACAAATTTCATCCATTTGGTTGTATAGTATACCTCCACTTAACCAAAACTCTATTAACCTACCTATGAATTACCTATGTTCCTTGTTCCCCAGCATGAAATTCATGCTACCAAGGGCATGGAAGAGATTTGGGTACTAAGGAGGTTAGGCTAATAAAGCAGATAGCTCTGGCCAGAGAGGAAGTGGAAGAGGAGGAGGATAACCATAATGACAATATGGAGTCTACCTTGCTGCCAAATAGCTCCTGCATTAGCATATGGAGTCCTTTACAACCCTACTGTCACAGAATTGAGCATCACAAAAGAGACCCCAAGTTTGGATTGCAAGGCATTGTCACTGTCCTCCTTGTCTGTGGGGGAAACCACCTCACTACTGAATGACTTCTGTCATTGATTATAGGAACTTCTGATTATATGAATAAAATCCATGTCCTCCCTGCATATCAGATAATCGTGTATACACTGTATTCCTTGAATACACTCTGGAGTGTTAAACTTAGAATCACAGAATCATAGAATAATAGGACTGGAAGGGACCTCGAGAGGTCATCGAGTCCAGCCCCCCGCCCTCAGGGCAGGACCAAGCTCTGTCTACACCATCCCTGACAGATGTCTATCTAACCTGTTCTTAAATATCTCCAGAGAGGGAGATTCCACCACCTCCCTTGGCAATTTATTCCAATATTTGACCACCCTGACAGTTAGGAATTTTTTCCTAATGTCCAATCTAAACCTCCCCTGCTGCACTTTAAGCCCATTACTCCTTGTCCTGTCCTCAGAAACCAAGAGAAACAAATTTTCTCCTTCCTCCTTGTGACACCCTTTTAGATATTTGAAAACCACTATCATGTCCCCCCTTAATCTTCGTTTTTCCAAACTAAACAAGCCCAGTTCATGAAGCCTGGCTTCATAGGCTTCTCTAGACCTTTAATCATTCTTGTCGCTCTTCTCTGTACCCTTTCCAATTTCTCCACATCTTTCTTGAAATGTGGCGCCCAGAACTGGACACAGTACTCCAGCTGAGGCCTAACTAGCGCAGAGTAGAGCGGCAGAATGACTTCACGAGTTTTGCTTACAACACACCTGTTAATACAACCTAGAATCATATTTGCTTTTTTGGCAACAGCATCACACTGTTGACTCATATTCAACTTGTGGTCCACTATGACCCCTAGATCCCTTTCCGCCATGCTCCTTCCTAGACAGTCGCTTCCCATCTTGTATGTATGGAACTGATTGTTCCTTCCAGTAGATCAGTAATTCATTCCTCAGTGAAAAAAGAGACAGGTAGTGCACAGAATACAATTTAATTTTCTTTTCAATAACTCATTTGGGCTAATAAATATAAAAGAGCAATTACAACTATATTTTTAGTCATGTGAACTGTAACTG